TACAGAGACACTGATTCTAGAAAGAGATGGTTGTGTGTAATTTGTTAAAGCTGAGAGCACTACAAAGTTATTCAAGTCTAGTTCAGTAATATGGGTGAATTAACCCTTTGCAGCAGTAGAAAACAGAAATATCTACCTGCCAGGGAATTTGAATTCATTTACCACTGCCCGATAACAACGAAAGTGCTTTGCAAATAAAATGTCTCCACACATTCAAATCCCATAAAACACGAAGACTCATGTCTGCATATCCAGTCTTTCCTGTGCTTACATTCAACCGTTATTTTAATTGTATTATCACATGCCAACAGTCTAGTTGAGACAGAGTACCACAAAGTCTCTTATTAGTCCATCTTCAGTATTTTATCTATTACTGTAACTGAAATATGTCAAGTAACCTATTTTAGAGAAGTAAGAGAAGGAACAGAGGTAGAAGGAGAAGAGAAAGTAACAGGCTGAACAATAGCGAAAAAAAAAAGTGGAAGAAGGAGCAGAAGAGACAGAAGTGTCACTGTGGACTCACCATAGTACTGAAGCTGCTCTGTGGAGCAGTAACCATCCGAGGCAGAGAGAAACCCCCCTGCTGAAAAGCTCATCTCCAACTCGGCCCACTCTCTCATCTGGACAGAATATCCTCTCTTTAGCTAGTAATGCAGGATCTATCTTCTCACACACATGCAAAAACATAAACACACACACTGACAATTACTCAGAGGATTCACACAGATATGAAGGATCTGGGAAGTATGGAGACATTCCTCAATCCCCAGGATGGGTCCAGGTCTCTTAGCTGTCCAGGCTGATATCCCAGCCTATTTTTAAAAAGCAGAGAGAAAGAGTGCAGCTGAGACTCTTGATCTACGGTGGATGAAGTGCTGGAGGAGGTCTTACCCGTCCCCGGGGGATAGACGAAAGGGAAAGCGGGGACACCCAGGAAGGACAGGGATGGGACTGAGGTCCAAACAGCTGGACCTGGTCGGGACTTCACAGATCAGAAGATAGCGGAGATGGATGGAAGGATGGATGCCCTCATGTGCAAAGTGGGGGACATTCAACACTCACGGTGTGTGTGTGTGTGTGTGTGTATATGTATATGTGTGTGTTGAGTTTTGTATCTCAGAGCGCAACAGCTGGGCTGGGCAAAGAAAACATTTTCTCAATTTTATCGGCTGAGTCAAATAAAATAATTCCCATCACTACATCGATTGTTAAAAGGTTTTATTGAAGAACATTTCATAGACTAATGCTTCTTGTGGAGCATTTGGCAAGTTCAATGTATTTGACACAAACCCTACTACTTACTTTGAACTATTTACTATGGTTAATATGTGTGTGTTTGCTGTGTATGTGTGTCTCTGTTTGTCCTCCAAGCCTCGGGAGTGTGTTTACTCTGCCTTTTGTTTATCGCTGTTCTGTTTGTGCTGCAGTTAATATTGGACAGCAGTTAGATTTAAGGGACTCGAGGACCTCCGCCTCCCCCACAGACAATTAACCAGGCCGGGGCAGAGCGAGAGGAGTCGAGGCCTGAACCGTCCAGAGGAGACAGAGGAGTGACCTCAACACTGGCCTGTAAATCTCTGAGCAGGGACGTTTGACATGCAGCATGCTTACGGAGGATTAACGCCGTCCCCCCACCCGCATATCATCCCTTTCACTGGCTCATTATGGGAACCAGGTCTGACCAGTGGATAGTAGAGGATTAGAGATGAGCCAATCATGCTCACTGAAGCTGTAGCCTTCACTAGATCGATCTCAGTGACAAATGACACAGGAATTCGGTTGCTAGTTACACGGTGTCTTTCCTTTGAAGATTATGTCCAAAGGGTCAATTGCTACACATGCGATCACGGTGCATTAAGACAACACTGCTTTGAGTTAAACTGTACTTTAGGGAAAAGCACTAACTAAAAGAAAATAGCAAATAAATAAAAGTAAATTGTGTCTAACATGTCAAAAACGCATAATGTATCAAAAATATATATGTATATATATTTGTTGCCGGTACAAGGAAGGTCAATAGACCACCAAAGTTATTATAAGTCATCCTGAGGGAGGCATGAATTTGTATCCCAACTTTCATCTTTTGATCTACCCAATAGAGACATTTCACTCAAAACCACAAATGTGACTGCTGCTCACCAATATATTTATATAGGTGCCTGAGCATTCAGTCTCTCTCCGCTCTAGGTCACTTGGTTTGGTTGGACTTTGTGTGATTTTATTTTTAATTTTTATTTTACAGCTGTACACACATACAGTACACACATTACTGATGAACTGAGTGCATACTATATTTCTTAAATACATTTATTCTACTTTAAAGAGTCACGTGTGGTCTCCACATTTTATCTTTCCTTTGAGGCAGGCCCTGACAACTTTGACCTGCTGGTAGCACTAGAGGAAAGGTCAGGGAATCACCCAAGTTATTCGAATTCATCCTCTGGCCACCATAGATATTAGCATCAAACTGCATGGAAATCCATCTAATAGTTGCTGAGATATTTTACTAAAAAACAGAAATGTCAACATAACATTAGAGGAGTTGGTTGGATTAATGCCACAAGCAAGGTTAACAAATAACTGAGGCTTAATAATGCCCATGTGCTGATTTAATAGAATAGTATCATCTGCGTAAAGTGTAGTGTATCATAAGCAAATGCCTCTATATGATAGATTGGTGGTAGTTTCTGGAATGGCATGGATCCATTACTAAAGAAGAGGTGTTCTGTTGTTATTTCTCAGTTAATAGCAGTGTGTCACGACCCAACATTTGTGGCAAACAAGCCATCAGCTATTCCTCCAACTGACCTCTGAGGAATGGAAGGAGAGTAGAGAGCAGGCAGCAGGGCTGAGAGTGACACTAAACGATGGGGACAATATCGGGGAGCGTGCAAATGTCACCATGGATCTTCTGGAGGTGTCACATTGTTGGACACAGGCCTGACTATGAGGGCTCTCCCCTTGGGAGATGAACGGGGGGGGGAATTTCAGATTCCTGACAATGTGCGCACAAAAAAGGAATGCGGTATAATGAGACGAGCACCCCAGAGATAGAGGGAAGTCTAGCGTTTCCATGTAACACAGTTGGTTCAGACCAACTGATGGCATGTGCAAACCCTTGAACTCATTAGTCCTGAATCACTCATAGCACAAGCCTAGAGAAAATTCAGCATATCATAAATCCCATTCCTCTCCATGTGGCCAGCTCCTCTCTTTATCAGAGAGTTGCTGGCTGGTAGCTGCAGCTCGATAATGGCCTGGACTGTTTACTGATACTCGCAGGAAACTGCCGCTTACATTAAAATGGCCTCAGCATTCATGAGTAAAGTCCATAGCTTATGTTTGAGCATAAGAGAGTGTGGTTAGGGGGTTTTGGCTATCATGAGAAGGAATGTAAATTTGATTCAAATGGTAGTTATGTCTACTTATATTATTTGTTTGAAATCATTTCCTACAATCTGTAGAGGCTATTGAGATTGAACTCTCAACTACATTGTTTGCACATTTTTTTCTACGTTCTGTCTATTTTGATACAGAGGTTATATATGCTGGATGTAATCAAATCAAAAAAATATGTTTTTTTTAAACATACACACACTACCCTGCTTAATGCAGCATGCACAGTTCCTATCAGGTATGTTGAAATGGCAATTCAGTGTTGAATTTTTAATCTTCAAGAGAAATTACTCTAACAAAATATAATGTTAAATATTAAATATCTTCTTTTAACCCCTATAGATGAGACTGAATCAAAAATGCAGGACAGTAACATTTTAGGTCAACGATCACTAAATAGCATTACGTTGGCTTATGAACAATTCTGTTTATGTTGCAGTTGTCTAGGTAAGCAGAGGTTGTGGACTTACCGCTGATGGTGGGAGCCTTCCTGCTTCACCAAATGTCCCTAATGTCCTCTCGCTTTGTCCAACTATCTCACTTTTTGTAATGTTGGCTCCAGCCCAGCCTCCATCCTCACACACACACACACACGCACACACAAATACACACAGAGTAAACAGAACCTTTCAAATGAGACAGTTGCTCTTGACCTGTGTTTGAGCTGGACATGCGGGAACCTGACCAAAGATCTTCTTTTCCTGTGGATTCTCTTGCAGGACAGAAATGTGCATTGGCGAGAAGAAATCATTCAGATATTTTATGGGGAAAAACTTGAGAAATACGATGGGAAAACTTGGGAAAACTAAAGCTGGGGTACAAAAGCATTTGACGGTAACGTGTGTCTCCGTGTATGTCAACACGGGGAAAATTAAAAATGTCACAGATTTAACATAAAAATCCACAGCATGGGACCTTTTGATTGCACGAGGGACATGAACTGGCAACCTCTGAACCACAAAGGACCCCCCTCCCTGCTCTGCTTGTAGGAACTGGAATCATCTCATTAACAAATTCCCAGTATAGAGTGTTTATAAACAGCTTTTTGTTCATCCTTGTGATGGATGGATGCTCCCTATCACTGGCTCTTCCTGCTAACTCCCCAACCCGCTTAACAATCTCTCTGCCACTGTTTCACAACCACACACACACACACACTTACTGAACCCTTGATATTTTCTCTACTGACCTTGCTTCCTCAGTGGGTGGGCCCTTACTGTTCTGCGTATCATTGCATTATGTTTAATAGTGAGGGAAAGTGTCTATGCGGGGGTGTAACTGAGAGACCAGCGTAAATGTGCTAATGAAGAAAAGCAACGCGGCTGTCAAGGCCTCCCAGGAGCAGGTCAAACACAGTTGCTGGGGGTTGAGGTCAGTGAAGGCAAAGGGTGATAGGTCAACATCAAGGCCAACAGCAGGCCTTGACTTCTGCAGGGCAGAAAAAAGTGGGAGTTGAAGTGAGTAAACTGTAGGGGAGGAGAAGCTAATGGGGGAGTGTTTCTTCTCTAAAGGAGCAGTTAGAATAAAATTTATAAATCAGTAACACCATTAGGAAAGTAATTGGGACAATACTAAATGATTCAATCAACACTTCACCCAGAATCAAAGGAATATAGAAAAGTATTTATTAACTTTACATTACACCAACCCACTGAAAATATTTAATACAAGTACAAAACAAACTATAGATGTGCAAAACATAAAGAGAGAGAAAATAAAAATGTGTAAATTAAACATGGTAGAGAACACCTGTGTAAGTTTGCTTTTTAATTATGACCCTTGCTGTAAACATCAATTAAAACTTTACAAAATACAATTCACACTATTTTGCAAAACATTTCTTCTTTGACACACAGACACATCACTGATTCAAGATTCAAGTTACATGAAATACTGTAAACAAGATCAGACAGGCCTTCATGCAGTGGTCAGTGTCATGACTTGTCATAAGTTTTTGGCAAAAAACTCTGTAATCATTTCAGAGAAACCTTTCTGCGGTCCGCTCACCCTCACCAGCAGGTTTCTGACATCTATATGAGGTCTGCCATCAAACTGAGGATGGGACCTAAAATCAGGAGAAGGAGTTCAGGTCGGCAGGAGTTAACATCCATGTGTCATACCTTAAACCCTCAATCGTCCCTTTGAACCACGAACATTAAGAGCAGTGTAAATCACATCGCAGCTGAACCCACGTGAAGAAATTCATGTGCCACAGTACTTTTCCAGATGAAAGCACATTGTAAACATTAAAAAAAGAGCATAAATACAACTATAACATTTAACTAAAATGCATGATGGTTTGTCCTGATGTTGTTAAAAATGTGATATGGAGGGTTCACTGACTGTCCCACCAGTTCAGTTGCTGATTTAGCTCCCCATCAGAGGCGCTGTCTCATCATGGCCGATGCCCACATCCACCGGAGATTTGCGGTAAATTATGAACTGAATGGAGATCTGAAAAACACTGTTAAGAAAATCTAAAGAAATCCTGGGAAATAATCAGTCTAACGCTAAACCAGTTACTGACAAATCATTTGTTGACACCCTAATTCATGGTGTTAAGAAAAATATATTTTACCGAATGCAAGACTGTGAGTGCTTTATATGTCCCCAGGACTCCCCAACGTCCCAGGTTCTCTGTGTAGCGATTTCTAATTTAATTCATTGCAAATGTGTTAAATATATATATATATATATATATATATATATATATTTTTTTTTCTATATAGGCTGGGCACGTTTAACGTGTTATCGCATTAATGCATTAATTAACGCAGACAATTATTTTATCGCACGTTTATTATTATTTTAAAGGTTCGTTGCTCACTGGCTGAATACACATACAGTCAAAGCATGGGTCACAGGAGAGGTGGCATGTTGATCAGACTGCTAATCACCCAAACAAGCAGTGGAGGGAGGCTTCGGCAGACTACACTGGATGCAGTGTGTAGGAGAAGTAGATAAACAAAAGCAAGACAAGCGATCAAATGCCATAGCGAAGTGGATAACTGCACACTGCATGCTGATTAGTATTGGGGAAGATGTCGGTCTTAGGAATGTTCTTAAAATCACAACGTAATCGTTTGGCCCCGCGGGGTTGCTCTTTGCCCCGGTGATCAGACAGGGAGACAAGCGTTGTAGCCTATTTAACTTAAGTTAAAATTACAGGTTACATAACTTTAACTGATAGGCCTACATCTAGTGGTGTTAGCAATGCGAATTCCCTCCTGTTGATGTCCTATTTAGTAAACAGTAATGGATTATGGAAAGTCACAAACTTTGTGCTGTGCTTCGCAAACAAAAGGTTCAAGACAATTCAACTTCGGCAGCGTGTGCGTGAGACGAGTATAACCGCGACAGTTTCACGGGAAAACGCTCGCTTGTCGCTACGCCTTGTGCTCGACCACTTCACCTCACTCTAACAGGGACAGACTGTTTATGCTGCTCCCTGATAAAGATCAGAAGGTGCCTGTTATGATGTTCTGATCGTGGCTCCGGACTCTGATGGCAACTTGTTTTAACAAGCTAGATAAAAGGTAATGCCCTGGCAGTGGCAAATAGCTCAGGTTTTATATTTGATTTGATTACATTAATGTTTAAGTTGAGATTTACAAGAAATATTTTATTGCTATTGTGTAAAGGGAATACTGCTGGGAAAAAGCACCTTATTTGTTAAGTGTTTACAAACCACGTTATTACACTTTTGTGTTATATAGCAGTACATTTAAATTAAAACTGCGCAATACACCACTTTAGAATTCATTATTTAATTTTGCGCATCGCAGGAAATCATCCGATTTTCATAATCGTGATTCATCATTGCCCAGCACTATTATATATATATAAAATCTCTCTCTCCACACACGATATAAAGTAACGAGTATCCTGCATTATTGCCTAACTATTGCACTCTCGTTGCTGATTGTGTCCTGTATCAAAATGTAGCTTGAACCCTTTTGTTATTTTAGCTGGTGCATATTCTAAAATAAAGTTGCATTTGGTCAAATTACCAAAATTGAAACGCAGACAACCTGGATCCTGGTGGTATTTTTCCAGAATTTCATTACTGAAAAGTCTCTGGGTTTATAAGGCTGCCATGTACATTCTCCTAGTGAGCACTATTCCTAAAGAAATAGTTTAGACATTTTTGGGAATACATTTATTCACTTTCTTGCTGAGAATTAAACAGGTTACTACCACTCTCATGTCTGTCCATTAAATATGGATATTTTTTTTTGAGAGAGAGAGAGAAATCTTCTCATCTAACTCTTGGCAAAAAAAGCAAATAATAAGGGGCAGCCAGTGTACATTTGATACTCCTGATTCTTTGCTGGCTACAAGCCAATTTCCCCATGTGTGTTTGGACATTTGACACTATATATTGCGTTTCCACGCACGCAGTCATAAGACCTAAACGAATCTGATGAAGTGTCATCTCTACAGGCTCAGCACTGTCTGAAATGTAGCATGTACATGGGATTAAGGGCAACCCAGAGGCCTGGCAGCAACGGCCATGTTTTTCTTTCTTTAAAAGGATACCATAAGGTCTAAGCAGAGGGTGCCGAGGCTGCCGATGAGCCATGGCAAGTGATGGACAAGGTAGCTTATCTCGCTCTGGCCTTCATCAGGGTTCTTCAGTAGGACACTTAGGCCATATGTGGTGTTTCCCAGGATGACCAGTGCAAACAGAAAGTAAGACACTCCCTCTGTCGACTTCCTTTTGAACTATGGGCAGAAATGAGAGGACGGGTAGTGGGATTAACATAAATCTTATTCTTTTAAAGAAGATGTTTTAGGCAGTCACCACATTATTTTCCACCAGAGTGATATGTGCAGTGATATAAGCAGATTACAGGGGGAAACTGTCCATTCTGTCAGTGCAGTATTTACACTTTCGTTGTCGCCAGCTCAGTTTTCAGTTACATAGAATTTTGCCTCTTTCACTTTGACTTGTGCAGATTTAAACTTAAAATTATTATGAGGGTACTTGTTCTAATTTTCATTATTCATTTATTATTAGTATTTGCACAAGTATTAGTATAGGTAAATATCTTTCCACCTACAGTCTACACTTTGTCATACTCACATTAGTATACATCTGGGGAAGTCTGGAACAGAGGTACAGCACGGACGACACTGAGCCGATGGAGAAACCAATAATCTCTTTTGTGGTAAAAGCCTGAAGCGACAGAGAGGCACACAAAACATTAGACCAGAAAAAAGCCAAACATAACTGGTTCACATTGCTCAGGTCTCAGGTAGGACTCACCTTGATAGAGCTACCTTTGGAGGTTGAGAGCAAGGCACGACTTCTGAAACCAGAGGGAATCATTTCCTGTTGGGTGCCTAACCCGGGGAGTTGAGCGAGGCTTGTGGTGAAGCCCAGGACACAGGCCACACCCACCACATATAAAACCATCCTGCCTGGGGAAGAGAAAGCACCTGTGTTCACCATTAATACTAGGAAAGACATCTTAACACATTCCTGCAGACAAGGATTACTGCGTCAAAGGTCACCAGTACAGGAACAAACATGAGGCATGTGATGACATTATTACAGGGTACATGTCCAACACCTCTTATTCTGTCTGGACTAGTGTTGCATCATTGTTCCTCAGCACTGATACAAGAAGCTTGTTCATTAAGCAGCTATATCAGATAAGATAATTAGACTTTCTTGAATCATGAAAGACTAGAAATTAAATACATGCTTGGGGTTATTCATTTCATTTGTATTCCATATGTTAACAAAGGCCTATATGGAGGATACAAAAAGACCACTAAGATGCAAATAAGGCACACAACACAAAAAAAGTATTTGGTACTTATATTCGGCATTTAAAAAATGAAAATTGAGAAGTAAAACAAACGTAAACACACAACAAAACCACTCACTTTCAACCATTCTGTTCTTTATCTTGTAGTAAAAGTACATGGCCAGCATCACCAAGTCAGCTAAAACGTAATAAATGGCAGTATATGTCTGGATGACAGGGAGAAAGACACATGTAACAAGTCATGAAAATATTAATTTTCTTCACACAAAAAAGTTATTGTATTGTAGGATATTCACAAAGCTATTTGTGTCATTATTTGACAATAGTCAAGCAATGAATAAGTCAATAGATATATAAATTATCAGTGAAAAACATTCATCAAGTCATTGGATCAAGACAATTATTTGCTGGTAATAGCTCTAAAAATGTGACAATTAATTTGCTTTTTATGGTCATAACCTTAAAACTACTTTTTTCCTTGAATGAGAACAAATGTAATTTCTGGTTTTCATAACTTGTAATGAGCATTTCTCATTGCTCTATAAGATTAAGATTTATAGCTTAATTTATGATAAAACTTAGTTAGTTGCAGCTCTCCTGTGTCATGGGAAACACCCTTACACTGAGGCAATCATTATATCATTATAAATCACCTGAAGTGGAAGCTGGTCTGCCAAGAAGGAGCCCACCAGGTTGCAAGTGTCACCCCCCAACCACATCAGCAGAAACCAAATAGAAAGGGCGTTGTGCATATTCCCTGTTCTGCATGAGCTGTAGTATTGCCTGCGATCACGAAAAAAAGAGATAGAAATTGTGTTCAGATAAAAGAGCATTTCTTCTGAGAGGCAGAGACACCGCCACAAACACTTACGGCATTGAAGACACCATGAAGCAGAAGATGGACAGGAGGCCTAAGTAGACGCTGGCCATATCCCTCGCATCCTGGGCACATTCCCCAAGCCCTTCCCAAACCCATTTGGATCCATTAGGGCACAATGAAGTGAGGTTTCCTTCAGTGGTCCAAAATGCACCCTGTGTGGGGACTCCGTCTGTCCACATATTCTGCTGAAGAGAAAATCCTCTGTTACTATCCAGTTCATCAAAAAAAATCATCCTTATTCTACATCTTTAGTTCTCACTAAATCGCCAGCCTGCTAACAATGTTTACATGGCGCTTTCAAGAGAGCATAAAATGAAAATGACATAAATATCTCAACCATGTGGCACAGGCGTGGAGTTTCCAGAGCTCAATCACACTCAAATCTTCCATGTCAACATGAAAAGAACATCTCATACGGACCACAAATCCCGACATAAGGCTGTTTTCCCAGTTGACACTATTGTAACAAAGGTTACCTGTTTAGATCCACACTCTGCAGCTGACACGCTGATTACATCAAGACACTATGTGTAGCTTAATTTATACATTAGGTAACGCTAGAAAACATTTTCCCCACACAAAATTCACTCAACAAACCAACCTACTTGTTAGCCACTTAGCTAGCAACGACAGCTAACTTAACACTAACGTTACTCAATAATGGAAAGCTGGCACGCGCCTGTGCCTTTTACGTCGAACACGTCTAACGTTATAAATGCTCAAACTGGAAATGAATAAAGCGCATTTATCTTGCCTGTGTGGTCGCTGACAAGCCGGCAAAGTCCTTCAAAGAACAAACACCCCTAACGTTACACGGAAGAAGCCCATAAACAAGCTAGGCCTGTGTCCGTGAGCTGATTGGTCGTTACGATGAAACCTCAACACTTACCTTGCGGCTCGTGGGCTCCACAACAAACCAGACCTTCAAAATAAAATTTTGAATCGTGGTCCGGGAATGTACATTTATTGTCCATTTAATTACTTCGTCGTGGGTTGGGAATGTGTGGCAGACATCCCTCCAAGTTGTCTTTAATGGATGTGTATTTACGAAGCTTAAAGGAGGTGAGTCAGTCGAGAACGGGAAGAGGTGAGCTTTACGGTAGTGCCCCCTAGGTAATGCAGTTTATTTAGGGCCATTATGAATCGCCCGCATAAATTGAAGCGACCAGAAAAGTGGACCGACAGCTTGTCAGACGTGCCCATGCACCGATTTAAGGGAATGCCAATATAAGAACTTCGGGAAAAGTCACTGTACAAGTGTAAAATGTCGAGTAGGCTGCCGGTCCAATTCAAGCATTGGCTGTACATCGAGATCATCAGAAACGTTCCCTTTAAGGATGTGTTATGGTTTCGGGGGGAAACCTTTAGTCTGCTGCTTCACACAGGTCAGGATCAACATCAGTGTGTAACAGTCTCTCGTCGAGACATTTTAGTTTTAAAAGACGTATTAAGGCTGTTGGACAAGCTAATGGTAGCCTATGCTTTCATGTTAATGTTACTTTTCTGAAGAACTGGGCCAATCTGATTTTCCAGCGCTCACACATTTCACATACTCTCATTACATACCTACAAGCCTTGTTAAAGTGGATTAATTTCCCCACATGGTAATTCAGTTAGTCCCTAACCCTCCTACATTCTTCAACTAGCTTTGCATTTTAGTGTGCAGCCGTGAAAAAGCAATATGCCTACACCTATAATAACCAGACCAATCCTTTGTAAACCGGCCGGGCAGGTATGCAAATTTTCTCAGTGAACTTCAGAGAGATGGTTGGACTGACTGTGAGTGTAATTACACAGTGACAGTAGCTGTAGTTTGGCACTACAATCAAGGGAACAACCGTTTGAGAGAAGCAGGTCAAGCCAGCCGCCGTTAAATTTAAAGTGCACACAATTAGGTCATTGTTGTTATCACATTAGCCTACTTTTAGTCATAGCCAAGCCTACGTTACTTGTCCAGGTTATCTTGTTTTCAAGACAAAAAACTAAAGTTGATAATGTCAATTTTACTTCATGTTACACTAAAGTCTAAAGCGGGAAAACTAACTTTACATCGTCATAAAAACGAGAAAGCATCATCTTTTGACATTACATTGCTTACTATTGGTAAACACAATTGTCAAGAGAAAACATCCTACCTGGGGGGAAAAAAACATGAAATCCGACGTCAGACTATGACTGAAAGGGACGAGTGGTTGAAGAAGTTATTTCTGAGGTGACGCAAAATGTGTCAGCTGACAGTCTTCCAGACTGACGACTCAGCACCTCACCACGCTGATGTCAGCTCGTTCAGTTTTGTTATAAGTCCAGTTTCCACTGTGGTCACGTGCTTCTCCTCAACTGCTTCCCACCGCTGGAGACGTATTCTAACGTGTCGAGGTGCTTGTAATAGTAACCGCAGTCAACACAAGGTAGGGAACTGAAATAGGCAATGCAGAAATCGAGGCTACGGTATTTGTATGGTCATACAATAGCAGTTCAAATAGACCCCGTTGACTATTCCACATGTAATGTCCAGTTTCATTCCTTGCATAATGTCTTGTGTTTGCTGTATTTCAGATTATTATATTAATTATTATTATTATTAAGTAGTAGTTCACAGTTTAGAGTGTACCACAGTAGGCCTACTCCTGTATGTAGTGTAGACTGGTCATGGCACTCTACACAAATTGGCAGACTTCAATAAAGACATTTGACAGGTCACAGTAGCAGCACATGTGTAGGCTATTGTTCACACCAGTGCTGCTGACTGCTGCTTCAGTTTCAGGGTTCTGGTATTCTGGCTTGTTGGCTTAACTGGCATGTCTTCCTGGGATGCTTTTAACATACCGGTATCACTGTTCCACCAGCTGCAAGACAACCACCATCGTCCCTGTACCAAGAAGGTCTGCAGTGTCTTCACCTCCATTTTTAAGATAAGATCAACTTATTCCCACACCAGGGAAATTCACTTGTTACAGCCGCGCTAAAGTCAAAAGTAGAGGAAGAGTGATAAATAAAAACAAAGGCAATACACTATATACACCTTTCACTCATGCAGATTTAACCACAATGGATAATTGCACATAATACACACATTGTAGAGATGTTGTCCATGATTGATGTCAGCTTGGCTAATGTCCTCCTCTCACCCACTCTTTTGCACTTTCTAGGGAGCAGGACAGAGCTAGCCCCCCATGACACTGATTGTCAAACTTGGCACTCTGTGCTTAAGTACCACACTCTGCAAATGGGTATTGGACTTCCTCACAAACAGACCTCAGATAGCTGGGAGAAGCAGTCACCTGCCCTGTCCCGTTCATGCTGTACAACCACGACTGCAACCCAGACATGAAGCGAACTCTTTGCGGACGACACCACCTTCATTGGCCAGATTTCAAACAACGCTGAGACTTCATGTTGGGAGGAAATTGACAATCTTGCAGAGTGTCGCACAGAGAACATCATCATGCTCAACATCAGCAAAACCAGGGAGCTGATTGGTGATTTTATAAAAGTGGAGCTGAGTGAAGCAGCAGTGGAGCTGAGTGAAGCAGGTCAACAGTTTTAGGTTCCTGGGAATCAGCATCACAGTGATGACATGGTCATCTCATATCTCCACCCTGGTAAAGAAAGCTCAGAAATGGCTGTATTTCTTAAGGAAACTTAAGGCTAAATTCTTGTTAACTTTTATCAAGAAGCAACAGAAACTGACTACAATTATCACAAACTTGCATGGGATGTGCATGGCCCAGGACAAGAGGACTCATTGGTAGCCATGTAATGAGCATCAGTGATATCTGTGGGGTTAGGTGCCTGAGGAAAGCCCAAAGGACAGAGCAGCTTCTTTCCACAGGCTGTGAGACGCCTCAACTCCACCATAAATAAATGACACGGAACTTTCTGTAATAGCACATTACCATATTACCTTGTATAATGTATGTCTATAACTGCAGTTTTTACTTTTATTCTATTCTGAAATTTTTATATGTGTTCTGTGTGTGTAATGTGAAGGGGGCTACAACTTTAATTACATTGTGCAGACCTGTGTAGTACAATTACACATAAATGTACAATAAACCTTGAATACAACCCACCCATCACAGTATTTAGTAACTGTACACCTGAGCTGGAACCAATTTCCAGAGGATTAGACTTGCACCAACTTTGACCACCTTTGAATCCAGATTAAAATGGTTTTGTATGCACTGCTTTTTACTGAACCTTAAAGGATAACTTAGGTATTTTTCAACCTTAACCCTATGTTCCCATGTTTTTGTGTCTAAGTGACTAATTGGGACATTTGTTGAAATTTGTCCAGCATTGAGCAAGTGCTCTGAAGTCGGCAGCAGTGAAACAGGGCAACAACATAATCCTTGCGGGCAATTGCACTCCATCAAAGTATGTCCACTAAATTGCTTGTTTTTGGCACTTACACTATCAGATTGTTATTTTAAGTGTCTGACAACATTTTAGAAAGGATCTCAAAAGAGATACTGTTTTTCAAGAGTAAGATCCTTTTTGTTTAACCAGAAACAGTTAATATATTTCGTCAAAGCCAGGTTAAATAATACCTTAATTACCCTTTAAATACTCAGAATGAACGATCTTGCCCTCCTGTATTTGTCTCAGTTCTAAAGGTTTTCATTTCGTTTAAAAATGTTTATTTGCATTTAATGTTTGATGCTTTTTCCTTTCTCTTTCTGTTCTTAGCGTACTATACTGAGCAAAATTATAAACTTAACACTTTTGTTTTTGCGGCCATTCATTATGAGCTGAACTCAAAGATCGAAGACTTTCTCTATGTACACAGAAGGCCTATTTCTCTCAAATATTGTTCGCAAATCTGTCAGAATCTGTGTTAGTGAACACTTCTCCTTTGCCAAGATAATCCATCCACCTCACGTGTGGCATACCAAGATGCTGATCAGACAGCATGGGTATTGCATAGGTGTGCCTTAGGCTGGCCACAATAAAAGGCCATTTGAAAATGTGCGTATTGGGTGGTCGGGGGGTGGTCAGTATATATTCCCTCACGCTGTGCACTGTTGATCAGGTTGTTGATTATGGCCTGTGGAATGTTGGTCCACTCCTCTTCAATGGCTGTGCGAAGTTGCAGTCAGGCCGAGACCCCAATGAGGAGGAAGGAGGAACAAGCATGCAGATGAGCTTCACTTCCCTTGGTTATGCAAACCGATTGTTGCAGCAGCTGTCCGGGTGGCTGGTCTCAGAGGATCTTGGAGGTGAAGATGCTGGATGTGGAGGTCCTGGGCTGGTGTTGTTACACGTGGTCTGCGGTTGTGAAGCGGGTTGGATGTACTGCCAAATTCTCTGAAACGCCTTTGGAGACGGCTTATGGTAGAGAATCATAAAGAAACATTCAATTCATGGGCAACAGCTCTGGTGGACATTCCTGCAGTCAGCATGCCAATTGCACGCTCCCTCAAAACTTGCAACTGTGACATTGTGCTGTGATGGAACTGCACATTTTCGAGTGGCCTTTTATTGTGGCCAGCCTAAGGCATGTGCAATACCCATGCTGTCTGATCAGCATCTTGATATGCCACAACCGTGAGGTGGATGGATTATCTCAGCAAAGGAGAAGTGATCACTAACACAGATTTTGACAGAGTTGTGAACAATATTTGTGAGAAATAGGCTCTTTGTGTACATAGAGAAAGTCTTAGATCTTGGAGTTCAGTTCATGATGAATGGGGGCATAAACAAAAGTGTTGTGTTTATAATTTTGTTCGGTGTATGTAAAGCACTTTAAATTGCCTTAGTGTATGAAACGTGCTAGACAAATAAACTTGCTTTGTCTAATGTTTTTAGTAACGCCTGTTCACTTACTACTGTTGGGTCTGTGGGTTATCCAATGAAATGCAGCAAATTACATTTGTAAGTATCAAGACAGGCATCTTTAAATCTGGACAAAATAAATCAAAATTATAGTGAGAACATGGTTTTCATTTTTTGTTGTTCTTCTTGTTGCAATTTAGGAGAACTGCTCTTTTAAGAGCTCCAGGCAACACCAAACCTGCTCCACACCACACATTTTCTTTGATATATTTCAATGACAGGTTTTTATTGATGACGCACCCAAACATTTATACTGTAGGAACACCTTCAGTGGGCTAGATTCTCTTATTTACATAACGCTTCCACAAAGTCATACAAATACTTGGTAGGTTTCATGTCAAAGTATTGATATAATACATTAACAACAGGGGATAGCTGATTTTAATGTTTTATAAAGGAACTATCACAACAAGTCTACAAATGAAAACAGATGATAGAAAAGAAAGGACCAATCGTTAACTTATCTACTGGAAAAGAAGTCCTACTTCAAAATCCAAACAAGCGAGTTCTTGAGTGTCCCTGAAATAAAAAGGGTATGCAGCTCTTCTATGTTTCTGACCTCAAGAGTTCTGACAAAGGCCAATTTCTAATGGAGTTGACAGTAAATCCTATTAAAAGGCAAAGATGATATACCAAGCAGTTTGAACAGCGAATCTCGTCCTTTTAGTTTGCTGCCTCGAAAACAAAGGAGAAGTGTGGGACGTGAAGAAAACAGTTTCACTTCTCTTGTTTCTTCTGTGGTTGCTTCTCACTTGATGTGGACCACTTTATCATCTGTTTTTAACCTTTTGCGTCTGGGCTGTACGAAGTCCTCCTCAGAGTCATCTGTGTCGTCATGCTCCTCCTTTTCCTTTGTGTCCGGGGACTCAAGTTCAGGTGTTTCAGGAAAGCTCTGCCCTGGGAATATGTCCTGCAACTTCTCCTCAAAGTACAGGCTTACTGCCTTGCCGGATATCGCCATCTCTGATCCCACCTGCCGGAGGAGGAGGCAGAGGGGGTGGGAGAGGAAGAGGGGGAAAGAGTGATATGGAGGAAGCAGGTGTAAGAGTACCATTGAGTAGGATGAATGAATGGGTTGAAGCAGGGAAGAGGAAGCAGAGAATGAGGAGACAAATTAGATCTGGTTAAGACTCCTGGTGGCAGGGAGGCACCGGCTCAACCTTGCTGTACAGAGCAGAGATATCCTGGAGCCCCACCCCACTGTGGCTCCATGAAGCATTTCCCATATTCAGTTTTCAATAAGGCTGGCTTCAGATACTTCCATACAATTTAAGGGTCAATGAATACACCTGTAGGGCTAAAATAAAGTATCTCCATTTTTAAAGGAAAAAGTACTTACTCCTTTTTCCCATGATTATCTCAAGATAACAAATGTTGTTTTCTCGTGATAACGAGATCATTTTCTGGTGATCGAGATAACAAAACAGTAGTTTAACACAGGGGTCGGCAGGAGCGTTTCTTAATGATAATTTCAGAGCGGTTTTCAGTGTCACTGGTTAGCTCAGTTGGTAAATTAAATAACAATTCTTGACAAAAAATTTGAACCAGCTACAGGAAACAACCCCTAAACCCAGGAGTTCACCCACATGAACGATTGTGTTATCACAGCCAGGAGTTTCTTGGTCTTAGAAAGCTTAGAACACTAAATTCAAGCCTGGAATGACGCTCATGTCCAGCTAACTTAAATTAACCAAATACTATGAGGGGCCATGCAAGTCATGATTTGTTTGAATCATCTCACCGTCTGCTTTCACATGCATATATTCACTCACATATATGTACACATTACCTTGAATCGTTTAAAAAACAGGGATAACGGCGCACATTTCAGACAGTCTCTCCGGGAAGACATTTATAGTGTTGCTCTCCATTGTACACATAAAAAGTGCCACAAATATTTGATTAACAAGCGCTAGAAAGAAGTTCAAAACCAGCGTTTCCTCACATCTGCACACAGTTGGTCAATCATGACGTGAAGTGGGTGTGAATGTCGGACTGTCTGTTTCATAAAGTTTCTGAAATGGTCCGACAGACCCGTAGGGGATTTACGAAGCTATCCAACCATCCGACAAGCAGTTTGGACAAAGTATATTGGGCCTTTAAATAGACTGGTTTCAAGACCTTTTGAAGTAAATTGAGCCAAATACACACACACACACACACACACACACACACACACACACACACACACACACACACACACACACACACACACACACACACACACACACACACACACACACACACACACACTTTTAGACCTTTTCAGGACCTTCAGACACCCTGTTGTCTATCACCTGCTCTTACCACCTTTCATTAAGAGTGAATGGGAAGAAATATAATCCATAGTTTTTATAGTTTGAAACTGCATGACTGCTCAAGTCTGCTGCTCATAAATTCTCTATGCTAAGATGAAGGGGGGGAAAAAAAACACCTTTCTTGGAGCCTCAGTGGGAGGGCACAGGACATCTGTACTCTATTTGAAACGGCTTACCTGCGTATTAATCTGTTTCTCCTCATCATAAACCTGGATTATTCGAGACATCTAAAAAGGGGCAATAACATTACAACAAACAGTGAAGCAGCAGGGGGGAAGAAAAGAGTTCACAGCACAGGCAGGTTACATAATGACCGATCAGAAATCGGTTTACAGCCTACTGTGCTCAAGCCTACGAGGTGTGCAAGCCGATACTGTAGAAATTAACAGCAAGTCAAGTCTGCACTTAGTCTTAGGTCTTCCATTTAGTCACTACAGAGAACGCGTGATCATGTTGTTGCAGTGTGCCACATTTCCTATTTTAAAAAGAAAAAAACAGCTCTTGCCATTCTCTTTGAAGTTTCTTTACCACTTAAGTGCAAATAAATGTATTATTCAATGGTCTATATGTTGATAGTGTAAGAAAAGGATTCTCTGGGAATGCTATTAACAATATCAAAGGCTTCAACTAATACACTACATCATAACTTTTTTTTGTTTCTACTCTTTCTTCCCTCTATCCTTTTTTAAGTCTATAGTTTTATGTTCTATATTTTGTTGGTATCATTTTTTCATAACTAAGAATTGTTTGATGGAACAATTAAAAGAGCTTCAATCCTTCCTATGTGTTGCTATGGGTGGTGCCTTAGGATACCTGAATGGTGAGTAATTACTCACTAATTAATGACTAACTAATTACTTTAAAACATGAATAATTCAATTACATTATAGTGATGTTGTCATGCTGAAACAGCCCTCTC